CTGACCCACAACTAGAAGGAGAGTCTTGCATGTCTGACACAGGTTTTTGTTGGTCTATCTCTCTTGGGAAGAACATTATTACCTAAGTCATGTAAGTCCATTTAAATTATACACACACACACACACACACACACACACACACACACACATATATATATAATTTACACACATTTATATAGACATACATTTGTGTTTTTTATATGAAATTTTAAACAAACATAAAATAATGTTTTCTTCTGGCTTTTTCAAACATTCTTTGTATTATTTAGTCCTCCTTCCTTCCTCTCCCTTTGTGATACCAACCCTCCCCACTTCTCAGTGAGAGTCCACCCACCTCATTTTTTCATTTGCACTGTACGGCACTTGTGCCCTATTATCACTCTCTATAAAGTTCCTCACCCCGATTCCTGGGATCCCTTTTTACTTGTTCTGGGTCTGTGGTTACTCAAAGCCACATACTTAATCTCTAAATAGTTTATTTTAAAAAATCAAATTAATTAAGCTAAATCTTGCTCTCTCACTCAAAAAAAAAAAAAAGATAACTTGGCAGCAGACATGCTTTTAACTACTCTTGGACCACAATGAATATTATACTTTTTGAATATTTTAAGCAAGATTCTAGATGTCTATGTTTAAAAAAAAAAAAAAAAAAACAAAAAGCACAAAAAACTAACTTTATGCAATTCAAGAAATTTGAAAAACAAGAACAAATCAAACCCAAATCCAGTAGTTGAAAACATTATAAAAAAAATCAGAGCAGAAATAAATGAAATAAAAACAAAAAGAGCAAGACAAAGAATCAACAAATATAAGAGATGACTCCTTGAAAAGTTAAACAAGATCAACCAACCTTCAGCCCCAAAAGAAAGAAAAAGAAGATCTAAACTACCAGAATCAGACATAAACTGGAAAACATCACAACACCAAAAAAATTCAGACTATTGTAGAGAGATACTCTAAAGACCTGTACTACATTAAGTTAGAAAAATGGCTGGCTCTTTGACCCCCCCTCCCCAAGGGAGGAGCCGCCTTGTTAGGCCACAGAGGAGGACATTGCAGCCAGTCCTGAAGACACCTGATTAGTTAGGGTCAGATGGAAGGGGAGGAGGACCTTCCCTATCAGTGGACTTGGAAAGGGGCAGGGAGGAGATAAGGGAGGAAGGGTAGGATTGGGAGGGAATGAGGGAAGGGGCTACAGCTGGGATACAAAGTAAATAACCTGTGATTAATATAAAAAAATAAAAATTATATAAAAAAAGAAAATCTAAAAAGAAATGGATACATTTCTAGGTCAACATGAATCATCAAATTTAAACCAGGTAATGGTCAACATGTTAAACAATACCATCACAAATAAGAAGGTTGAGACAGTAATCAGGTCTTCTGCTAACAAAAAAATAAAGTCCCAGATAGATTCACAATAGAATTCTATCAGACTTGCAAAAGAAAAACAAACAGGAAAGTACTTTCAAACTCCTTTCATGAAGCCAGTATTTCTCTAAAACCCAAACCAGGTAAAGATAAAACCAAAGAAAGAAAAATACAGGCCAATGTCCCTTATGAAAATGTGAAGAGTCTCAGCAGCCATTTATTTTAAAATTCCTATGTGTTGGTACCAATGCTAAGGAAATATTACTTGAACAACAGCGGGACTCATATTTTCCACTTGAATCCAGTTCTCATGCCATGCCATACCACTGTTCAAATAATGAAATATGAACAATCCTATTACTATTTACACTTGACTGCTTTATAAAATTTTAATTCTATAGAAAAATAAAATTAGTGAAAGTAAATCTTGTATTTCTCATTCAAAAAACTTTGCAGCAGATAGACTTTCAACTACTATTGGACAACCTTGGAAATTATAACATTTTTGAACACTTGAAGCAAGAAACCCAATCATCTTGGAGGGAGCGGAGAGGTCGTAACTGGGTTTCTCTGTGTAGTATTGGCTGTCCTGGACTCACTTTGCAGACCAGACTGTCCTCGAACTCACAGAAATCTGCCTCTCTCTGCCTCCCCAGTGCTGGGATTACAGGCATGCTCCACCGCGCCCGGCTCCAAACATCTTTTAAGTGCATAAAATTCATTTAATTGGTACAACAGCCTTTATGGGTAGAAATTTTTATTAATCATACTATACAGACAAAAAGTTGAGACATACAAAAAAAATTAAGATCTTGCCCAAGACACCGATTGGTAGATAAAGAGTTGAGCCAGAACTTAGTAAAACAAGACACTAGATGGCAAACTAGTAACTGAATCTGGTACTTAAAGGGCCTAATAATCACAGGAATGAATATGGGTTATCATTTATTTAATTGTGCTAACTTTAAACAAGTTTAAACAAACAAGCAAAACTAGTTTATTCATGAGTTAGTAAAAACAGTAATTAATCTGGCAGTCACTGAGTGTTGATTCGTGGTCTAAACACACACACACACACACACACACACACACACACACACACACACACA